AGAGTCAGAACCCAGAGCAGAGCTCCATCCTGTCCCGCCAGCCGGGAGGATGCCGGGGCAGGGAGGCTCCCGGCCGGGCCTGGCACCTGCTGGCCACTGTGCTCGGTGTGAATTTGGCGGTGACAGCAGGAGTGCAGTTGGGTGAATGGCTTCACAGACCCATTTTTTCTCCCTCTTCTGAAAATCTGTAAGAAGGGCAGAGAAGGGAATTAGTGTTTACTGACTCTGCCAAGCAGCACAGGCCAGGCCCAACCCCTTGCATACATCAGAGTCCGACTGGTGACATGGAGATCGGTGTTTTGTTTGGATTTCATGGTGCTAAAAAAACATTTCAATGAGTTGTCAGCATATTCAGAGCTGGAGATTCCCCATGAAAACATTTTGGGAGATGCTCTTGAAATAGTAGAAGACCTGGCAATGTGGGGCCTTCATTCCCTGGGTCCTCCATAAGCTGGAGTGGACAAACAGCTGTCTCCTCCCAGGGAATGGTGGCTCTCCACTTTTCCACAGGCCCCACCAGGCCCCTTGTGCATTGCTGCTGCATGCCTGGCGCCTTTGTCCTTGGATATGGTAATCCTGGATACTCTGGCCCTCCTGATAGCCCCGTGATATGGGTACACTTAGTCCCATTATACAGATGATAAGACTGAGGATCAGAGATGAAGTTATCTGCTCTAGGGCATACTGATTCCAACATTCCTCTGCCGCCACAGCTTGCGGGCAGGAGGAGGAGTTTTGCATTGTTGAGCTGGAAGAGGGTGTGTGGTGCCTCGGGAGAGATCAAGGAAGGCTGGGGCAGGGGCGGGGTGACGTGGTGCAGCCAGTCTGAAGGACCCGTGGCTGTTCACTGCTAGGAACTTGTGTGACCTGGGAGCCGGTCTCGGTGGCCCCAGAACAACAGAGAACTAGACGGTCATGGTGGAAGACATCTTGGGGAGTTGGTGGCTGATTAGGCTGGGGGCTCCCTGGGTGGCTGGTGCTTCAGGACATGAGTTTGGGGGACCAGGAGTGAGGGGGCTGGGATGGTGTGGGAAGCAGGCCTGGTAGGGGAGGTGGTGTACCCAGCTTTAGAGGTGTTGGGTTTGGGGCTCATGAGACCCCAGGGGCGAGGTCTGGGGACAGCCGGCCAGGCAAGGCTGGAGTGCAGCGGAAGCTCCTGGCGGAGGTAACAATCCAGAGAGGAGGCCGCCGTGCCCAGTGCAGGCAGCAGGGCCTGGGCGGGGGCGTCTGTGCCAACCTGTGGCCTCAGCGTTCGGTGGAGGGCAGAGGGCCGCCCCCTCCTCTTCCTCGAGGTAAGGAGGATGCTGCCCCTCCTCACCCCGCGGGCCCTCAGTAATCAGCTTCCCTAGGGATGCTCGAGAGAGAGAAACGGAAGAAAGTGAGGCGGGCAGGGGAGGAGGGAGAGAGCGCTGGTTATCGCTTCCCCTCAGCTCCAAGTGGATAATTACACAGCTCTCTGAGCCCCAGGACTGGGCCAGGCGGCAATCCACACAGACAGCCTCTCAAAATTAATGGGACTCCAAGGGGCTTGAGGTGTGGGGCGGCCAAGGCTGCGAAAGGCTGAGGAGAGATGAACCAGACACAGGTAGAGACTGTCTGGCAGGAAGAGCCAAGAGGCAGGGTCTGAATCAGATAGAAAGAAAGAGGGGAAGCTGAAGCCCAGAGAGGTTAAGTCACCTGTTCACAGCCACACAGCAGTGAAGCTGATGGTACTGTTAAGTACCGACAGGCCTCAACTGCTTCACGTACAGCATCAATTTGAATTCTCACAAAATTCTATTTTGTGGAAGAGTTGAGCTCAAAACTGTTTAAGCAACTTGCCCAAGGTCACCCAGTATACTCCGGCCGGAGATCTGAGAGCCGGGATGGGAGAAGTTTTAAAAGCTTGTTTCCCCAAAGTGGGGCTTATTATAGATGCAACAAGACTTCCGGGTCTCCCAGGCCAGAACCGCTGGTCCAGCAGGCCTCCGGCAGCCTGGTGCTTGGGGGCCAGTGGGACACGGACTGGCTCCCCGCTCCTCTCTCAGACGCTTCCTGGTTATCCCAGCCTGAGCTTGGTTCTCCTCTGCATCGGTGCTCTGTCCTCTCCTACTCTGACCCCGCAGGCTGCTCTGCCCCTCTGCGTTGTGGGGGAGCTCAGCTCTCCTGCTGGCCGCTGTGCCATGCGCCAGGGTGGTGGGGGAATGACTGGTGGCTGGCTCCTCCTCCAGTAGGCCGGCTGCCCTGGGTCCCTGGCCAGGCAGTACCTCAGGGCCGCGTGGCTCTGCGCCCTGATCCTGGGCTCCTTCTGCAGACACATTGCTAGGCTTGAATTTTTTGCTCTTCTGGTGTGGCCCTGCGGAGGAACGAAGGTGCGCTCATCCCACGAGAGCTGCTCTGTGAGTGGGAGCGCAGGCACCCCGTTTGGCCGAATGCTGGTGTTGCTGCTGCATCTGCTCGGCAGGGCCGGGGAGGGATGAGGGGTGAGGGCCACGTCTGCCCCACCCAGCCCGCCCTGCTGTGCCTGCTGTCCCTCCCCGGTGTGTGGTCCTGGGAGACGGACTCAGGTGTGTGCATGCTGTGGTAGGCTTCACCATTTGACACTGGGGACACTGAGGCCACAGAGGCTGAATAACTATTTTTCTGCACACTTTGGGACGACTTCCATACTTCCTCACGAGACCTCTGCCCTTGCCGGTCCCTGTCTGCAGAGCTCTGCCCTCAGATCTCATGGGGCAGCACATTAGCGCCCGCTTACCACATAGCAAATCACCTTGAGCCCAGCAGCGCGCAGTAACAAATATTTATGGTATCAAAGTTTCTGTGGGTCAGGAATCTGGGAGCAGCTTCAGGGCCGCATAACAACTTCCATGGGGCCTGGGAGCTTTTGCATTCGTTGGCCCCTTCTCCCTTAAAGGAATATAAAACATGACATTTTATGGTTAGGCTGGCATAAAAACAGATTAACTTGATATAAAAAACCATTTTCTCTGACCTAAGAGTTGCTTCTTTCTTCTAATTTGAAGAGAAATGAAATGTTTTCATGGGTCTGGAAAATACTGGGGGCCCTAGCACCATGCCTGCCTCGTCCAATGGCTGAATCAGCCCTGAGTAGCTGGGCCCCGTACCCTTGGCTTGGTCTCTCCTGTGGTTGCAGGGTGGACGAGGGACCAGCTGCAGGCATCAGAATGCTTGACTGAGGCTGGAGGCTCTGCTTTCTATTTTTTTTTTTTTTGTTTTTGAGACAGAGTCTTGCTCTGGAGTTCAGGCTGGCCTTGAGCTCACTTTGTAGCCCAGGCTGGTCTCGAACTCAAAGTGATCTTCCTGCCTCAGCCTCCCGAGTGCTGGGATTACAGGTATGCACCACCACGCCCAGCCAGGCTCTGCTTTCTAAAAAGATTAATTTTATTTATAGGTCTACATAAGATCACACTCATCAGAGGGAATTTGTACCTGCACACACTATACCTCGATTCTTTTTCCCATCTCCCTCCCCTCCCTTCCATCCTCTTCCCCTCCTTATTTCCAAAAGCTTTGTTTCCATTTTTTCCTTCTTTCCCTGTTTTTCTCCCCCTTTTCCCTTCCTTCTTTTCTCCTCCCCACTCCCTGGTTCCCCTTCTCATTTGAACATTTTCTTCTGATTTCACATCTATTACACACTCTGGTCCTTATTTACACTTTCAGTTTTTCACACCAGAGAAACAATATGGTATTTACTCATGTGTGTGTGATTATTTCACTTAAGAGTATGGTCTCAAGGTGCATCCACTTACCTAGGAGTGCTGGAGGCCCCATTTCTGAGGGGGCACACTCACACGGCTGTTGGTGTAAGAGGTCTTCTGACAGTGGGTTTCTACTTGAGTGGGTGATCAAGGGAGAGAGCGAGGGAGAGGGAGAGAATATCCATATGCCCATAAGCCCCTTATGCCCTACCTTGGAAGCCCTACACGGTCAACATATAGTCACTCCTGCCACACTCTTTTGATTAAGAAGACCAAGTCACTAAGTACAGCCTGCACTTAAGTGATTTATGGGGAGGCCAATTAGACTATTAGCTCACTGTTTGAAGGCAGTAGGCAGAAAGAGTTGTGAACATATTCTAAAACCATCATGCCAGGTGTGGTGGCTGAGGCAGGAGGATTTCCATGAGTTTGAGGCCAGCCTGAACTAATAGCAAGGCCCTGTCTCAAAAAATCAAAACCAAACAAATAAAGAAATCATCATACCTGGTTTCCTAGAGGCCATCCCTAGTCGGCCAATTTAGTCCCCATTGCCACCCTCTCAGTCCCCTCTGACATCACTCAGTTTATCACTGTCTAGAGTGACCTGACTCCTTGATCTGATTGTCCGTTCCTAGAAGACGGCAAGTTCCACGAGAGGACCTCGTCTGCCCGTCCTGTGCCAGTGCCCTGCTGTCTAGTGCAGAGCCTGCGTCCGTGGGGCTCTTAGTAAGTGCCTGGCAAATCAATGACTTGATGAGCGTATTGGTGGCAGGAAAACCAGTGTCGTCTTAGGCAGGGGTGGAGCACATGCAGAAAGGTGAGGCTGCGTGGGGCTCGTTGTCCCGGGGCAGAACTCAGAGACTGAGGTGTTGGGAAGGGGGTCCTGTAGGGAAGAGGAGAGGGGAGGAGAGCAGCAGAAGGCGCACAGCCTGGAGCTGATCAGAGGCCGTGGGATTCCTTGACAAGCAGGGACTCTTGGATTTAGGGTGTAGTGGGAGGAGCAGACGAAGGCGCAGGTAAATTACAAACTATTATGCCAGGTACATAAGAGAAGTGTGTTTGGGACCCATTGGGCTGGATCCTCACACTGCTATTGCCCGCTGAAACCTTTGCCTTTAGCCTCATCCTTGACTGGACCTTGCTCACCTACTGGGGTGTTAGAGGACTGCGCCAGTCCTGGGGAGACTTGCTCAGCTGCCTGCTCACCTGCCTCTAGGTGGCAGCAGAGGCCCAGGCTTGGCCACAGCGCCTGTCTCCTGCAGCCTCTGGCTTCAGAGCCCAAGGCTTGCTTTACTCGCTACTACCAGCTCTGGGCTGCAAGGGGTGTGTGTGGGGGTCAGGCCGGGGGATTGAGTGTCCCGTCTGTGTTCCTGCTTCTGAATTCTTCCTTGCGCTCTGGCCTCAAGCTTCTAGTGTCCTTTCATCCTTGACAAGTCCTCCTGGAAGGTGAGAGCAGAGAGGTGGGGATGGGGTGGGGGCCAGGATTTGTCTAAAGGCGGCAGAAAGCTCCTTGGGATGGGTAGTGCCGGTAGGCGACAGGATGTGGTCTGTGTTTTTGGAGTTCTCTGTAGCTGCAGGAGAGGGATGGCTGAAGCGGAGAGTCCAGACAGGAACCTGCTGCGGTGGCCGGGTGGCGACAGGTTTGAGAGGAGCCCGGGGGGTGTGTAGGAAGATGGCGGACACCAGAGAGTCAGAAGGACAGGAGGCCGCGTGGGGAACAGCTGGGCAAGCATGGTGGGGGCAGTGCCAGATGCCGGGAGAGCAGGCCACTGGGGGTGCAGGCCACAGGACCCAGCCCAGATTAGCTTGGGTTCAGCTTGGGTTTGCGGGCAGGGTTCCCCTCCCGGGGGATGGCAGCAGGCAGGCGGAGGCGGCCCAGTCCTAGATGGACTGGCGGGCTAGGAAGGGTGTCAGGGCTATGAATCAGGAGCACAGTGGGGTGTAGGTCTTGGCCTCTGGTGGGACCTCTGACCAGACTTGGGCTCAGAGGGGCAGCTGGTCCTACGCACCTCCTGGCTGTTGCCCCCAGCCCAGGTGCCCCACAGGTGCTGTCATAGACATCGGGGAAGATGTGGGGAGGCCCCACAGGATTGGTTCGAGCTTGGCCTGACTGCCGTGCTATGGTTTCCCAGCTGGTGGTGCCCCAGGCCCTCCGCACCCAAAGCCCATCAATCCCCATCCCACCTGGCTCCAGCTCCTCTGCCAGGCTGGTGTAGGGCTGGACGCTGACTGAATGACCACAGGTGGCCTTGTGCCCACAGACTAGCCGGGGTGGGGCTAGCAGAGTGCCTGGTTGCCTGCCACGCCTGGGAAGCGGGATGCCGCTGCTTCCAGCCTCCAAGCTCTTTTTGCTGCGGAAAGGATCAGGGCTGAGCCTCTAGCAGGGTTTGAGCCTGTGAGCCTTTTCGTCTTCATGGGGGCTGGTGCCCGGGCCCAGAGCATCTCCTCTGCTCACTTCTACCCGGTGCCTCTCTCTTCATGCCTCCATTTAAATGTCACTTCCTTGGAAACAGTTTTAACACCCCCATTCTTCTTGCTCAAAGAGTCCTTTGCTTTTCCTGCAGTGCATTTATTACCACTTGTCTTTATACTCTGTGTGTGTGTGTGTGTGTGTGTGTGTGTGTGTGTGTGTGTGTTTTGTGTGTATTTTACCATTTTGACCTCTTGCGTGGTCTGGACACCCAAGGGTGGGGGTCATGTCTATTTTTACTTATTAGTATATTTCTAGGTGTTAGCCTCACACCTGGGACACTATATGTGCTACAAAAATATTTGTTGAATGAGAGAAAAAAAGCAAAGAAAGAAAAAGAATGAATAAATGAATTATGGATACCTCTGGGGACACCCCGTGTTGGGAATTCATAAAGCCACAGAGGGAAGCTGGCATCTCTCTGGATCATCAGTTTTACTTGATAGTAAGGAATTAGAAGTGTTATATTCACTTATTAATTGAATATTTTACATTACAAAAGTAATACATGTTCCTTGTCAAAATTCAATCAATAGGCATTATTTTTATATTGAAACAAACCTTGACACACCATGGAGTGGAATGCAAAGTTCGCCTGACTATTACAGAGAACATAAGAGGCCTCAAAGACGTCTTGAGCATAAGAGGGGCAGTCTGCCTGTGGCACAGCTCCTGCAGGCACAAGGAGGGAAACCGCCCTTCTGAGGGAGGGTCTGGAACACTCTCTTCAGGCGGTTGTGCTGCTGTTGGTGTTGTGACTGCGAAATACAGGGTGGTGGCTGGACTCTCCTTGCCTCTGATGAGATGTCTGCTGGCCAGGCGTGGGGGCAGGGCAGGAGGAGAGAATTTTCAGGGAGGCAGGGGATGTAGGGAGGCACTGGGGGGTTGTATCAGGAAGGAAACTTCCCTGGTGAGGAAATTATACGGATCTTTTTGGGAGAGGGTAGGTTTACTCCTGAGAAGGGGCTCCTCCAACAGGTATGTCATTTCAGGGGCCCAGGGCTGGCTGCCCAGGGCCAGAGGCTTCAGAGCTGCTGAGAACTGGGGTGGAGTGGGTGGGGTGGGTGCCATTGGGTTGTGGGGGTTGGGAAGCTATTCTGGAAGTCAGCCAGCCCCAGTGAATGACAGTGTTATGTGGAAAATGCACCCACAGAGTGGAATAAACAAGGTGGACCCAGAGCCTCACAGGTCTGGGTTCAAATCTCAGCTCTACCAGTTGTAGTCATGTGACTTTGGTCAAATCTTTTCCCTCTCAAAGCCTAAATTTCTCCATCTGCTGAAAGGGGATCCTGGTCGTCATCTTTAAAGCGGTTGTGAGGGCTTTGCTCTCTGCTCGTTAGAGTCACCAGCTAGTGTTTAAAACATCCTGATGTCTGAGCCTCAGCCCAAGCCAACTGAATCCAAGTCTCTGGGACATAGGAAGCTTTCAAAGCACCCCAGGAGGTTCTGCATGGAGCAGAGAGCAGAGAGCCGGGACAGGTGAGAGCCTTGTGACCAAAGCCTTGTGACCAGAGCCTGGAGACTGGCTCCAGCCAAGGAAATGCGCATGTCTCCCAGTTAATCCACAGCAGCTTTCCCCAGGCTCTGCGGTCAGTCAATAGGCTGCCTTTGTGCTTCTAATTGGACTGTTCTCCCGTTCCAGTCTGCCCTTTGTCTAGGTCCCAGCTGTCAGGGACAGGGCACCGGTGAGGGACACCCAGTGGGAAGCAGCCGCTTTTGGTCCACTGGCCTCAGATGTGACCGACAGACGCAGACCCACAGGGAGCAAGGACCAGGGGCAGACAAGCCAGACCAGAGCCAAGGGACACCCCCACCTTTCTCCCCTCACCCGGACATCCAGAAAGAGAAACTGACTTAGTGCTTAAGCAGCTGCATTAAGTGCCCCATGGACGGAGGGGTTTGCTGATATAGAGATTGTGGGGTCCCCAACCTTAGTGTTTCTGACTGATCTGGTCTGGGCTGGGGCTGAGAATGTGCATTTCTAACAAGTTCCCAGGTGATGCTGCTTACCGGTCCCTGGGACTACACAGTGACTTAGAGACCCAGAGAGAAGGCAGGCAGCAGGCAGCGTGTGAGACCGAGAAACCTGGGTACACAGCACCTCTGTTCACACATACCCAGAGCCAGAGAGATGGCTGGAGAGGACACAGGCAGCTGTGCAAACCCACGGACGCACTCCGGGCCCCAGACCCCGAGGAGACAGAAACTCCATACACATGAGTGGAGCTGGGAGAGACAGGGGCCCCGAATGCAGGTCCAGAGAGGATCCACTGAGGGACAGAGACAGCGGCACCTTCCAGTACTGTAGAAGAGACAGAAATGGGCTCACCCCAAGAAGACAAGTGGGGAGCAGCTGAATGGAGACAGAGGGGCAGGTTGACATACAGAGTGAGCGACCAGGAGCCGAAGCGTGCGGGGCATAGACAGCCCCTGGCAGGATGTGTTGGTGTGTTTGTACCTGCTTGGTTGGTAAATATTCAGGAAACTCATCAGCCCGTGATAAAACCTGGGACGGTTTGATGTGGGCTCCACAGGAGAAGTCCCTTGGCGGCCGAGTGTGGTGACGGCTTTGTAAGCAGTGGCTCCTCTTTTCTGGCCTGGGATTGGCCCAGGTAGGACTTGCTGTGCTCTACACAGGCTGGGTCCTGTCACTTCCTCCAGGAAGCCTTCCTAACTGCTTCAGCTCCGGGGCTCTTGTTTACCTGGAATTCTACCTCTCCAGCTCCTCGGTCTTTCGAGGTTGCCTGAATGACTCCTAGACCCTTTTCCCTTCCAAGTAATCAGTTATACTCCACTCTTCCACCCTCGTTTGATCGTGGTCCCTTATCCGTGACACTTGAGACATATATTCAAATGTACATGAAATACAAATGAGAAAAAGTGAGGCAAACAAACAGAAGTGACGGCGTTCCTATACCTTCCTCTGCTGGGAGGCCTCTACCTTAGTTGGTAAGCCCTCTCTTGTCTCTTGTGTCCCTCCCTGGACTTGCTTGATTGACACTGGGCAGTTGCTCTTGGACTATTGGATGATAATAGGGATAGAATGTTTACTCAGCATTCATTATAAGCTGGGCCTCATGCCAAGTGTTTTACATGGATAAACTCTTTCAGCTTCCTTAATAACCCTCAGAGGTGGGAACCACCATTATCTCTACTTCCCGGGCGGGGAGACTGAGGCAGAGAGATGGTGAATAACTAGCCCATATCATATAGCCAGGAACTGGTGTGGCCAGGATTCGAACCCTGGTCTGATCATCAAGCTGTAGCAAGCTGCGGGTTACAGAGCTATGGAGGGCTTCTCCGTCTCTGTGACTTGGCCCCTGGAACCCGTGTGCTCCCAGAAGGTGATGCAGTGGCGAGCAGAAACACCGAAAGGACACTCAGGATTTGGAGGCAGATTTATTCACCCCAACGGGCAGTGATCGGGATCATTCCCAGAACGTCAGGCCCTGGTCTGTGGTGGTCTAGGGCGTATACGGGATAAGCAAGCAGGAAGCACAGAGACAGAATGGCTTGCCAGTTGGGGATTGGTTTATACACTGTACATCACAGTGACCAGCTATGCATCACAGTGATCAGTGGTTTCTAAGAGATGGGAGCGACCGGATTGGGAACAGGAACTATTACCTGGGCAACTAACAAACTGAAGTATACTGGCTGGGGGTTGGGGGGCATCTTCTGCTCCAGGGAAGGCCAGGCATGCCTTCTTTTTGCGTTATGCTGCTAAATATTTTCGGACAACTTCCCGGGGCCCTGCCAGGAGTCGCAGCCACATTATCTCATTCCTTCTGTCCCCCAAGGCTGCGGGGTGCGCGTTATTAGTTTGAAAGGCCCGAAGTGGGGTGCGGTGCCCCTGGGACCCGGCTGGGCCGCTCTGGCGCCGTTCTGGCTGCCAGCCGGTAGGTGAAATGTAGCCGATAACACATTAAGAGATGCAGCAAGTTGCCCTAGAAACTGGATTCTAGTTAAGTGCCTG